AGTGTCCTACAAGAGTGTCCCGCAAGAGTGTCCCACAAGAGTGTCCTTTCAGAGTGTCCCACAAGGGTGTCACACAAGAGTGTCGCGCAAGAGTTTCCTACAAGAGTGTCCCACAAGAGTGTCCCACAAGAGTGTCCCACAAGAGTGTCCTACAAGAGTGTCCTACAAGAGTGTCCCACAAGAGTGTCCCACAAGAGCGTCCCACAAGAGTGTCCCACAAGAGTGCCCCACAAGAGTGTCCCGCAACAGTGTCGCTCAAGAGTGTCTCACAAGAGTGTCCCTTAAGAGTGTCCGACAAGAGTTTCCCACAAGAGTGTCCTACAAGAGTGGCCCACAAGAGTGTCCCACAAGAGTGTCCTACAAGAGTGTCCCACAAGAGTTTCCTACAAGAGTTTCCCACAAGAGTGTCCCACAAGAGTGTCCTACAAGAGTGTCGTGTAAGAGTGTCCCACAAGAGTGTCTTGCAATTGACCCACAAGAGTGTCCTACAAGAGTGTCTCACAAGAGTGTCCCACAAGAGTGTCCTACAAGAGTGTCCCACAAGAGCGTCCTAAAAGAGTGTCCCACAAGAGTGTCCCACAAGAGTGTCCTATAAGAGTGTCCCACAAGAGTGCCCTACAAGAGTGTCCCACAAGGGTTTCCTACAAGAGTGACCCACAAGAGTGCCCTACAAGAGTGTCATTTGGACATATGTAGTTTTTCGAAGGTGTTTCCATTCGGGTTCGTGGGTTCCATCTTGTTTTTCCTAAAGTGGACGCGCTGGCTCTTTGGCAGTAGCCTAGGGCTGTGCCTCACTGGTTGCCCTCTCAGTGGTCGCTCAGAAGAAGTCCACCGTGACGTAGTTGGGGCCTTCTGCGTCGGAGTTGTCATTGTCATGAGCCTCTTGTTGGTCACCTTGTGGGCTTGTGGACTCCCCGTCTCGGTCATCGAGAGCTGTGGGAAAGTGTAGCCTTCGTGGCGTGGGTCTTGTGCTGGCTGCAGGCTCATGCTCTGTAGTCTGCCGGGGCTGCTTGTGTTCCCCCTCGCTTTGACTGTTTGCGTCATTCTTCTTCTTGAAGAACTCGCTGAGAGGAGGGGACCCTTTGGGTCCTGCTCCCTTGGCTTGTCCTTGCTTCAGCCATTCTTTGTATGGGAGGTGGTTTTCATCGTCGGCTGCTTGTTGTGATTCATGAAGCTGATGGCCAATCGTATGCTGGACAAGCTCTGCCATGAGTGTCTCCGGCTTCCCTTTTTTCCATGTGGCTACAGTCTTGGTGGGAACAAGTGGTTTGCCTTGGGCTGCCCAAGGGTGTTCTTGTAGCAGGTATTGCTCCGTGCGTGAAATCAAATCCGCCCACTTTTGTGCTAGGGCATTGGGTGGGTTTCCGCACGCCTCAACCTCAAAGGCCTAAAATTGGTACGAAGTCCAGGGCCTGAGATCAATGTCAGGTGTGGCTGGTATGGGCGGGAAGTATTGGATTTGCCTGTGCTCTTTGGTGGCTGCTTCAATGTTGAAATTGAGCGTGAGGAGGGCGTGTGGCCTCCATGGAACTGCCCAGTCAGCTGTGAGAGCAGTGGTGCCAGCAAGAGTGTTGTGCATGAGGGCGTAGTCAATAACGTTGCCAGAAGGAATGCTATGGTCAGGGGCAAGGACCTCGAAGTGGAACTTGGAGGGAAGCACTGTGCTGGCGATGCTTCCAGGCTTGTTTTGCCAGAGGGCATAGGGGTGGTTCGTCGCCTCGATGAGGGCCAGGAGTCTTGCCAGTATGGTGGCATTGGTCTCACTTTGGAGATTTTCAGCAGTCTTCATGTAGACTCCTGCCACGAGAATGGTGCATTCAGTGGCCTGCCAAAGAAAGGCTTGGTATCCACATCCTTGGATGGTGAAAGCTTCCAGTGGCGTCAGACCGCACGACGGGTCACCAAGCACAAAAAGTCGTCCATGCGTGCCCGGGTTGTCCTCATTGGTCAAAGCTGGCGTTCCAAACGCTGTCCTGCTTCTTGCGGTGAAGTATTGACAGGTTTGTTGGTGCTTCTGTGGATCGAGATGTGTCTCAGCAAAGATGTACACCTCACTTTGTCTTGACCAGTACCAATCGAGTACTTGTTTGCCAAAGTTGGTGACATTGGCGAAGTGGAGCTGGTTGTGGGTCTGCTCAAGCCTTGGTCGTTTCTCTGGCCTTGGTTGAAGTGTCCCCAAAAGAATCTGGTACTTGAAAAAGTGGTCGCAAATGGTGATGTGTCTTTTTCCCTGCACATGGTACCATTTGAGTCTTTCCCGCCTGCGCTGAGCTTGAGGCAGCGCGGCAAACCATATTGGGTTGTGGTGCCAAGTCAAATTCATCAAGGGGTACCGGCACCTGGATCCCTTGAAAACCCTGGAGTGGTAACTGGTTGTTGTTACCCGCACTGCCCTCCCGGCGGCAGTGGTGCAGTGGTTTTTCTGCGCTTGCTGGGGTCTTCTGCCTCCTGAACTGGCCGCTTGAGTAGGCCATGTAGCTGGGTGCGCTGCTCTTCAGTGAGAGCTATGCCCAGGCTGGTGACAAAGGTTTCCACCGCCATTGCGATGGGCAGTTCTTGGTCCTGTTGAGGTCCCAATTCATCTGGCTTAGGTGTCTTGGTGACAGCTTGCATGTACTGCTCGGACAAAGTCTTGAGCTTCTGTTGGCCTTCGGTGAGCTTGGTTTGGTGCTCTTGCATGTCTTGCAACATGGAGGCATATTGGCTCTTGATCTGGCCCAGCCTTGTTTGCAGCTGCGCTTTCTTCATGGAGATAGTCTTGAGCTCCGTGACTTGTGTCTTGAGCTTCTGTGCCAGCGCTTTTTCTGTATCCGGGATTGGCTGGTTGAGCTTGTTGACAACAGCCTGGGCTGCTTGAGGAAGAGCATTGAGGTGTGTCTGCAAAACTTCAGCGAGTCCTGGTTCTTCTGGTTGAGGCGGTCCGTATCCAAGTGCTTGTAACTTGCCTTGGATGTCACTTGGAATCACCTCCCATGTGGTAGCCAGGAGTTCAGCTGCAGTCTGCTGTGTCTTGTTCTTCTTTAGGGGTTTGAGCTTGTTCAATCCCGGTGGCTTGTCCAGGAGGTCATCTGTCGAGTTCTTCTTTGGCCAGGCTGTATTGGTGTAGATTTTTGCTCCATTGCCATGGCCTTGACCTCTGCCTTTTCCTGTAGGTGAGGTCCCTTGTCGCCACCATGTTCCGCATTTTCTGCAGCGTGCGCCTGGATTTTTCTTGTCATCCCATATCCAGTTGGTGCACTGCTTGTGGGCGCAGACGGTGTAGCTTCGACACCAGGAGTTCGTAGGAGCCATGGTGCAAGGTTGCCGTTGCCCTCTACGTTCTGGCCTGGAAGGGTCTTTATCTCAAAGGGATAACGGGCAAAGTGGTAGTAGGCCTTGTCCTGAAGGTGGTTGGTGTTGGTAGCTCTCGTTCAGCAGGATCTTGGAGAGAAAATCCAGGGCGAGCGCTGCCAGCCACCGAAGAACTCTTCAGGAGCTAGGATGGTGTTCACCTGTGATCACGGGCAAAGATCCAGTGCAGCGCACGGTGTCCCGGACGTCTATGGCTTTCTGCCTGTATCCGGATTTGTATGGGACCGCCTTGGACCACTCGTGGCTTGAGCCATGTATGTATGTATGTCTGTATGTATGTCTGTATGTCTGTATGTGTGTATGTATGTATGTCTGTATGTCTGTATGTATGTCTGTATGTCTGTATGTCTGTATGTGTGTATGTAATGTATGTATGTATGTATGTATGTATGTATGTATGTATGTATGTATG